GAACGGACCTATCACCATCAAGGAAACTGAAATGGTAATAAAAAGTCTCCCCAAGCACAAAAGTCCTGGCCCGGATGGATTCACTAGTGAATTCTTCCAAATCTTTAAAGAGGACTTACTCCCAATCCTCTTTAAGCTTTTTCACGAAATTGAAATACCAAAAACACTTCCAAACAGTTTCTACGAAGCAAATATCACACTGATACCAAAAGCAGACAGAGATACCACAAAGAAAGAGAATTAGAGGCCGATATTCCTGATGAGCAAAGACGCAAAGATCCTCAACAAACTATTAGCAAATAGAATCCAACAATTCCTCAAAAAGATCATACACCATGACCAAGTGGGATTCATCCCGGGGATGCAAGGATGGTTTAACATTCAGAAATCAATCAACATAATCCATCATATCAACAAAAGAAAAGATAAAAACCATATGATCAGATCAACAGATGCAAAGAAAGCATTTGGCAAGATTCAGCACCCATTTATGATGAAAACCCTTGCCAAAATAGGTATAGAGGGGACTTTCCTCAATATAGTTAAAGCCATCTACCACAAGCCTACGGCAAGCATCATCCTCAATGAGAGTCTGCCCTCTAAGATCAGGGACGAGACACGGATGCCCACTCTCTCCACTGCTGTTCAATATAGTACTGCATGTACTTGCAATAGTGGTTAGGCAAGAAAAAGATATTAAGGGCATTCAGTAGGAAAGAAAGAAATCAAGCTCTCACTATTCGCAGATGATATGATACTATACTTAGAGAACCCTATAACCTCTACCAAGAAACTCCTAGAAACAATAAACTTATATAGTAAATTTTCAGGCTATAAAAATCAATACCCAAAAGTCCATGGCTTTCCTATACGCAAATAGTGAGAGAAAAGAAAGTGACATGAAAAAAACAATCCCATTCACAATTGTGTCCCAGAAATTCAAGTACCGAAGAATCAGCTTAACTAAGGAAGTAAAGGACCTGTACAAAGAAACTTAAGGAAATAAAAGAGGATGTGAGAAAATGGAAAGATATTCCCTGCTCGTGGATTGGGAGAATTAACATTGTCAAAATGGCAATACTTCCCAAAGCATTGTACAAATTCAATGCGATCCCTATAACGATAACCATGACATTCTTCAAAGAAATGGAGCAAACACTCCTGAAATTCATATAAAACAATAAGCCCCCACAAATAGCTAAAGAAATTCTTGGGAAAAAGAAAATGGGAGAAATCAACCTCCCTAACTTCAAACTCTACTACAAAGCAGTAATAATTAAAACAGCATGGTACTGGAACAAAGGCAGAGCTGCAGACCAATGGAATAGGGTTGAATATACTGACATCTCCCCCCAAACATATGATCATCTAATCTTTGATAAGGGAGCAAGAAATGTGAAGTGGAACAAGGAAGCCTCTTTAATAAATTGTACTGGCAAAACTGAATGGCTACATGCAAAATAAAATGGGCTCTGATCTCTGCCTAACACCATGTACAAAAGTAAGATCAAAATGGATTAAAGACCTCAACATCAGGCCGAAATCCATAAGGTACACTGAAGACAAAGCTGGAAAAACCCTCCATGACACTGAAGCTAATGGTATCTTCAAAGATGTCACGCCACTCATCATTGGATGGCTACATGCAAAAAAATAGGCTCAGAACTCTGCCTAACACCATGTACAAAAGTAAGATCAAAATGGATTAAAGACCTCAACATCAGACCAGAAACCATAAGGTACATTGAAGATAAAGTTGGCAAAACCCTCCATGACATTGAAGCTAATGGTATCTTCAAAGATGCCACGCCACTGGCCGAGCAAGTGAAAACAGAGATAGATAAATGGGACTATCTTAAACTAAGAAGCTTCTACACCTCCAAAGAAACAGTGACCAAAATACAAAGACAGTCTACAGAATGGGAAAGGATATTCACCGAATACACATCTGACAAGGGGTTGATATCCAGGATATACAAAATACTGGTTAAACTCCACAAGAAGAAAACATCCAACCCCATCCAAAAATGGGGCAATGAAATGAACAGAAACTTTCTCAAAGAAGAAATCCGAATGGCAAAAAAGCACATGAGAAAATGCTCTACATCATTAATCATCAGGGAGATGCAGATCAAAACCACAATGAGATACCATCTCACACCTCAGAGACTGGCCCACATTCAAAAGAACAAAAGCAACCGATGCTGGCGTGGATGTGGCGAGAAAGGGACACTCCTTCACTGTTGGTGGGAATGTCCACTGGTTCAGCCCTTCTGGAAAACAGTATGGACGATTCTCAAAAAATTAGAAATTGAGCTCCCATTTGACCCAGCAATACGACTGCTGGGAATATATCCCAGAGAGGCAAAAACGTATAGTCGAAGTGACATCTGCACTTGTTTGTTCATTGCAGCACTCTTTACAATAGCCAGAAACTGGAAGAAACCTGAATGCCCAAGAACAGATGACTGGTTAAAGAAACTTTGGTACATCTACACAATGGAGTACTATGTAGCTCTTAGAAAAGATGAAGTCATGAAATTTACATACAAGTGGTACAATATGGAAAGTATCATGCTAAGCGAAATGAGTCAGAAAGAGAGGGATAGACATAGAAAGATTGCATTCATCTGGGGGATATAAAGTAACAAAGTATGAGATTAATACCCAAGAATAGCTGAGATCAGCACCAGGAGGATTACTCCATAACTTAAAGGCCAGCCGGGTATCCTAGAGGAAAGGGCAGTTCAGATAGAGAAGGGAGCACCAAATAAAGGATGCTTGGAGGATCCTCCCAGGAGGGGAGATGCATGTCGAAAGTAGACTATGGACTGAACATGTTTGCCACTCAATGCCTCTTTTGCAGACCACAACACCCAAAAGGAGAGAGAGAACACAGGGGATTGCCCTGCCACAGAGACAGGGGGCATGGGGGGATGGGGGTGGGAGGGATATTATCCATGGTGGTGGAAAATGGGCACTGGTGGAGGGATGGGTATCTGATCATTGTATAATTGAAACCAAAGCACAAAAAATTGTAAATCTACAACTGTAAAAAAAAATAAAATAAAATAAAGGGAAAAAAAAAAGATGTCACGCCACTGGCCAAGCAAGTGAAAACAAAGATAGACAAATGGGACTGTCTTAAACTAAGAAGCTTCTGCACCTCAAAAGAAACAGTGACCAAAATACAAAGACAGTCTACAGAATGGGAAAGGATATTCACCGAATACACATCTGACAAGGGGTTGATATCCAGGATATACAAAATACTGGTTAAACTCCACAAGAAGAAAACATCCAACCCCATCCAAAAATGGGGCAATGAAATGAACAGAAACTTTCTCAAAGAAGAAATCCGAATGGCAAAAAAGCACATGAGAAAATGCTCTACATCATTAATCATCAGGGAGATGCAGATCAAAACCACAATGAGATACCATCTCACACCACAGACACTGGCCCACATCCAAAAGAACAAAAGCAACCAGTGTTGGCACAGACGTGGCGAGAAAGGGACCCTCCTTCATTGCTGGTGGGAATGCCAACTGCTTCAGCTCTTTTGGAAAACAGTATGGTTGATTCTCAAAAAATTAGAAATTGAGAGGGGGGGGAAAATTAGAAATTGAGCTCCCATTTGATCCAGCAATACCACTCCTGGTAATATATCCCAGAGAGGCAAAAAAGTATAGTCGTAGTGACATCTGCTCTTGTTTGTTCATTGCAGCACTGTTTACAATAGCCAGAATTTGGAAAAAACCTGAGTGCCCGAGAACAGATGACTGGTTAAAGAAACTTTGGTACATCTACGCAATGGAGTACTATGTAGCTGTTAGAAAAGATGAAAACATGAAATTTACATACAAGTGGTACGATATAGAAAGCATCATGCTAAGTGAAATGAGTCAGAAAAAGAGGGACAGACATAGAAAGATTGCATTCATCTGGGTAACATAAAGTAACAAAATGGGAGACTAACACCCAAGAATAGCCGAGATAAGTACCAGGAGGTTCACTCCATGGCTTGGAGGCCAGCTCTGTTAAAGGAGGGAGCACTAAATAAAGGGTGTTGGGAGGATCCTCCCAGGGTGGGAGAAGCATGCTGAAAGTAAACTATAGACCGAACATGACTGCCCCTCAATGCCTCTTTTGCAAACCACAGCACCCAAAAGAGAGAACAAAAGTCCTGCTACAGAGGCAGAGTGGAATGGGGGGAATGGGGGGGTGGGAGGGATACTGTAATCAGTGGTGGTGGAAAGTGGGCACTGGTGGAGGGATGGGTACTCGATCATTGTATAACTGAAACCCAAGCACAGAAATCTGTAAGTCTACAACTGTACCTCATGGTGTTTCACTAATAAAAATTTTTTTTAAAAGCCTTCTTTCAGAGACTACTGAAATCTTCAAATGTGAGTTTAAATGTAACAATCTGAGACTGCTGAGACAGCACAAGGGTGAGGGTACATGTACCTGAGAAGATTTCATCCCTGGCCTACTATGTTCCACCAGGTGTGGCCCTGGTGGTTCCCTCCAATCACCACAGGCCCTGCGTAACACTGCATCCTTAGTCCCTTGCATTAAACCATCTGGCCCGGTTGACAGAGAATACAAAAGAGTGGTCCCTGGCTCCCCTGAAATATTTGGAAGCCTGCCTTCATCCCACCAAAAAAAATAAAATAAAATAAGGAAAAAACTGCACAAAACTCTACCTTGAAAAACAAGTAAAAAAATTAACATCAAAAATCTTCAAACATTGTAAGAGGCGTTTAATGGAAAGGCTGAGTCCACAAGGGGTGTGTAGGAAAGAGAGGTCGATACCCTTTTGTTGTGACACTCAGGTCACAAGGGAAGAGATCCAAGAAGTCACAAGAAGAAGCCTCCCAGATTGCACAGCTTTGGAAAACACATCGGCACTGCCCCCTCCCCAGAACTTGGCCAAGAGGAAGAATCAGGCACTTGAGTGTTTGGGAGTGGGGAGCTCCGGGTGTGGGGGAGCAGCCCTAGTCTGGGACGGTGAAGGGCAGGGTGCTGATGATGTCCCCGGTCTCCGTAACGATGGCATCATACACCCAGCGCCGGTTGCAGCGGCACTCGGGCCCGCACTTGTTGGAGTTGCACTTGGGACAGGGGTAGAAGCAGCCCAGACAGTTCTTCTCCAGGCAGTCACAGAGGTCTGCATCATTGCAGATCAGCTTGCCACTCTTGTCATACTTCCTCATGACTCTGCGGAGAGAAAGAAGGATATGTGAATGATGGGTGGGCCTTGGCCACTGCAGAGACACCACACCCCAGAGCTGACAAAAATAGTTGCAAAGAATTTTCAGGAGGGAAATCCAACCAAGGGGAACTTCCCAGGGCAGCCACACTTCCCAGACTTGTTCCCAGTCATCAAGAGGGACAACATGTACTCCAGCCAGAGGGGCAATGTATAGTCACAGAGGTTAATTAGAGTAGCTGATCAAAGTTCTTTCCTACAAATAAATGCCTCAGACTGTACTTAAAATGGGCCCAACAGAAATCTGGGGACGTGGCAGGCAGTGCCTTGCATGTGGCAGACCCTAACTGGATCCTGGTCTGCTCGGTCCCCAAGCATCATCGGGTGTGGTTCAGAAACTCCCCAAGTACTGACCAGTATGGCCCACCAATCCCCGACACTGTTGGGCCCAAAAAGCAACTTATCTTTGGGTTCAAATATTAAACCACCAGTCTGGTGGTGAACAGCTGGAATTCCTGAGCATTGTTTGGGAGGGCCCTGCTCTCCATAAAATATTGCTGGAATATTCCATAATAAAATACGCAGTTTTTCTTTAAAAAAAAGAAGAAGAAGAAGGGGGCCAGAGAGATAGTACAGCAGGCAGGGCACTTGCCATGCACACAGCTGACCTGGATTCTGTCCACTGTGCCCCATATGGTCCCCAAGCTCACCAGAAGTGATCCCTAGGCACAGAGTTAGAAGTAAACCCTGAGCACCACAGAGGATACCCCCCCCCCAAATCAAAATACCAACCAACAAACAAAACCGTCTCCTGATTTTAGCAATGGCACATGTGTTTGTACCCTCAAGCATATTCTCCTTCTGCAATTTGATTTTCTTTCTACCTTAGAACTTAAGATCATCCTTGGGGGTATATGAAGCTCTTCCCTATGACTTAGTCATTCCCCTTCTGGGCACTCACCTGAATAATACAAAAACACTGATCAAAAAGCTTTGTGCACCCCCAGTTCAATGCCACATTATTCAGAATAGCCAAGAGCTAGAGACAATCTATGTGTCTATCAACTAATGAATGGATAAATAAGATGTACTATGTACGTACAAGTGAACGCTACTTAGCTATAAAAATAAGACAAAACCCTCTCCTTTTCAGCAATATGGATGAACCTAAACATTATTATGCTTAAATAAATTGGAAAAATAGTGAAATAAATTGGAAAAATACACACTCATAGGTGGAATATAGGGAAACAAGCAATTAGAAGAGATAAAAAAACAAAATTAGCTTTAAAAAATCATAAGGAGTAAAGATCACATTCTTCTTCCTTGGACAGGTGTTCTTTTCTTTTATTTTCTTTGTATCATATGAATTTCTTTCTAACTGATGGTCAGTATAACAATCAATTAAAAACATGTTCTAGGCTGGAGGCAAAACCCTCATGAGGCCAATCCCAATTCAATCCCCAGCACTACATGGTCCCCCCAAGCACTGCCAGGAGTGATACCCAAGTACCTAGCTGGTAGTAGTCCCTGGGGAAACCACCAGGTGTGGTCCCAACCACTGTCCTCACTCCCACAAAAATCATGTCCTTCCAGTCTGGGGATGTAGCTCAGTGGTAGAGCACTTGTCCTGGGATGGATCTCCAGTACTGGAAAAAAATCTTTTAGGAGCCAGAGAAACAGAAATAGAAATAGAAATAGAAATACTAGTTACGGTGCTTGCCTTACATGCAATCAAGCTACATTCAACCCCGGCACCGCACATCATCCCCTAAGCACCACCAGGGATTATCTCAGAGGCAGAAGTAACCCCTGAGCACTGCAGGTGTGCCCTCCCCCCAAAAAAAACGCAATAAAAAATGTTTTAATACAATATTTTATAAAATATTATAATATGAAAGCATGACAAGCCAGCTGCCCTTTAGCAAACACAGATTTTCACAAACATTTTTCACTGAGTACATATTTGTCAGAAATTGTATAAAGCTGTGTTTATTAATCTGGGGGCATATGGCCTCTTGTGGATACAGGATACTCCCAAGGGTCCACATATAAAATTCCATCAATGAAGGGATAGTGGGAGACCAGATGGGCAACCAGTGAGATAGATGTGGGGGGGCACAGGAAGAAAAGAATTGAGCAGAGGATTATGATTGGAAAAAGGTTGAGAAACACTGGCCTAATGTATAAATCTCAGACAAGCTAGCCCGGAAAAGAAAGAATGTTCATCTCTCCTTGTTTTTCCACAGTGTAAACATATAAATTATCTATCTTTCCACTCCAGATAGGCACTCGGATTAATATGACTTCATTTTCTTTGCTTTCACAGTGATGGGCACCTCCCCTCTGTCTTGTGTAAAAGTGTTTCCAGGACAAACACACAGGAGCAGGGTAGGGCGTAAGGCACACTAGGAAAGCTAAACTGCTTTCAAACCATTGTACATTTTGGGGAGACAAAGCCAACAGAACAGTGGGTAAGGCACTTGTGCATGTGGCCAATCCGGGTACAATTCCCAGAATCCTATAAGGTCCCCTGAGCACCAATCAGGAATTATTACTGAGTGTAAAGCCAGGAGTAACCCCTGAGCATCTCTGGGTATGGTCCAAACCCAAACAAACAAAAATAGTTGTATATTTCACATTCCACGCAGGTCCTGCAGCTTCCTCACATCAACTCAACATCAGACTTGAAACCTTTGCCTGTCTGGGCAGCAAGACACCTTGCTCTACTATGCCGAGGTGGTACAGAATGCTGAAAGCTCATTAGCCATCTCACTGTGAAATGACATTCATTGTTTGGTTCATTCTCCTAATAGCTTGGCTGTTTCTTAAGGATTCTAGAGATTGGTGATGATTAAATTTTAACATAAAGAACTTCTTTCACTTTGTGATTTGTCTCTGGTTTTTGTTTTTTTGTTTTTTGGGTTTTTTTTTTTTTTGGCTTTTTGGGTCACAGCAGCAATGCTCAGGAATTACTCCTGATGGTGCTCAGGGGACAATATGGAATATGCCAGGGATCGAGCCTGGGTTGGCTGTGTGCAAGACAAAGGCCCTTCCCACTGTAGTATCTCTCCCGCCCCATGTCTCTCACTTTTTTGTATTGCACACAGGGCATAAATTCTTTTTTTTTTATGTAGGAGTATTGCCGTTTATTCAGCCACTGATTAGCTGATTGAACTGAGCATGAACTCCACCTTACTTTTTTTTTCCACAGTTTTATTTATTTATTTTTCATCTTATATTTATTCATTGAATCACTGTGGGAAAAGTTACTAAGCTTTCAGGTTTAAGTCTTGGTCATACAATGATCAAATACCTGTCCCTTCACCAGTACTCACATTTTACCACCAAGAACCCCAATATACCCCCCACCCTACCCAGTGCCTGTGAGGTAGATGATTTCTACTTAACTCTTCTCTACATTGGTTACATTCATCATTTCGACAAAAGATGTACCATTATTGTTTAGAATTTCCCCCCCAACAAGCAGAACTGCCGAAAGGGCATTGTGAAATACTTTGTTTTCTATAGCTGGTTATGAGAATCATATAATGTTGTGCGGCTGCTATTGTGGCTACGCAATTTTAGATTTCTTCAAAGAGCCAGATAATTTAGAGATTGGTTTCTGTGCGTCTGGTGTTATGGTTGTGCTGGAGAACCGCTTGTGGGGGGTAACTCAGGACCTCGGTAGGTCTGAGGAGGCGGCCACCTTGTTGCCGGGGGAGAAAGGCAGAACGAAGCAACAGCCCTTCCCTCTGGGGAGGCATGGCACCGTAGTTTAACGCATGGTTCATTCACTTTTCTGCCGCAAGCTGCCAGGCTCTGGATTAAGTCCTTTTGCCTCTGGAGCCATGTCTGTGCCGGAGAGCCGCTAGTGGGGGGCAACTCCTGACCTCGGTAGGGCATGAAGGACGAGCCGGTACCAACCCCTTTCTCATCAGACTGCAGTAGGGCATAAATTCTTAATTGTAGTACATTCTAGTTTATCCACCTTTCTTTTGTGGTTTGCTTAGTTTATGCTTCAGATGAACCAAAATCAACAAAGGTAATAATGTCTGTGATGGTTTCATACCTAAATCCATTATCATAGTCATGATTTCTCCTCCAGATGATATATCCTTTTTAATTTTAACCACAGTTAATACTAACACCACTATTCATTATCCTACTCGAGAGATTTCTGAAGCTGTTTTATTTTTAAATGGTTTTGGTCTGAGATTACTATGCAAGGATGTAAGGAGGGGCCAGATAAGGAGGAAATGAGAAAGGATACAGATATAATGCAACTGACCTATCATACAAACCCTCATAGCATACAGGCAAATCAGTTCACTGTGCAGGAGGTATGACAATAGGAAAATCCATGGTCCATCATATGCATATGTGATCTGACTGGTCATGGGCTACATATGACGTGCTTAGTATGTAACCAATCAGATAGCAGAAACAGCACGGGAGGGGGGTGTGGGCGGTAATATGAAACCTATATAAACCCAGGTCATTGCATAGGAGAGAAGTATGAAGAGGAGTGGAAGAAGTGAGACAAGAAGAGAGATAGAACTCGGCTCTTTTTGGAACCTGTTTTTTCTTTTTTTTTTTCCTCCGGGATCCCGCACCCTCCATGTGTTCTTTCTCTTATGCTTAAGGCTTCAAAGATGGCGCTGGGGGGCGGGCTGTGGGCGTGACTTCCGGAATCAGAGGTTACCTGGGAGGTGTAGTCCGGCAGATTTGAGAAAAAGTCCTCGTTCCCGCATACTCGAGCTGTGTTTGTAGAGGCTTCTGGTCACCGGGGTTCCATCTGGGGGAGGCGGGATGCGGCACCTACTCCATCTGGAACTTGCGGGTGAACTCGGCTCTTTTTGGAACCTGTTTTTTCTTTTTTTTTTTCCTCCGGGATCCCGCACCCTCCATGTGTTCTTTCTCTTATGCTTAAGGCTTCAAAGATGGCGCTGGGGGGCGGGCTGTGGGCGTGACTTCCGGAATCGAGTATGCGGGAACGAGGACTTTTTCTCAAAACCGCGCGGCCGCTTATGCGGCCGCGCGACATCTCTCTATATACAAAGTGATCAATGAGAAGTAAACCACCCAATCTTTCTCCCTGAAAGTCAGAGTTAAATTTGGAGCACGGCCACAGCCCCAGAAACACAAGGACTTAATGCAGAACCCAGCAGCTTAGAGCAGAAAAGTGAAAGGACTATGCGTTAATCCAGGCCATCAAGTCTGCCGGAGGGGAAAGGGTGTTGCCCCATTCGCCCTCTCTTCTCTGGAAAGAAGGATGGCGGCCGCATGGGAGCCTTGTGGACAGCAGGTATGAGCCGGGGGTGTGGGGGCGACTAAAACCTCATGGGAAGGGGGGCGTTCCGGTCCGTCCTTCACGCCCTACCGAGGTCACCAGTTGCCCCCCACGAGTGGCTCTCCAGCACGGCCACAGCCCCAGAAGCACAGGGCTTAATGCAGAACCCAGCAGCTTGGAGCAGAAAAGTGAAAGGACTATGCGTTAATCCAGGCAATCATTTCTGCCCAGAGGGGAAAGGGTGTTGCTCCCTTCCGCCCTCCTCCCTCTGGAAAGAAAGATGGCGGCCACATGGGAGCCTTGTGGACAGCAGGTATGAGCCGGGGGTGTGGGGGCGACTAAAACCTCATGGGAAGGGGGGCGTTCCGGTCCGTCCTTCACGCCCTACCGAGGTCACCAGTTGCCCCCCACGAGCGGCTCTCCAGCACAGCCACGGCCCCAGAAGCACAAGGACTTAATGCAGAACCCAGCAGCTTGGAGCAGAAAAGTGAACGGACTATGCATTGATCCAGGCCATCAAGTCTGCCGGAGGGGAAAGGGTGTTGCCCCATTCGCCCTCTCCTCTCTGGAAAGAAAGATGGCGGCCACATGGGAGCCTTGTGGACAGCAGGTATGAGCCGGGGGAGTGGGGGCGACTAAAACCTCATGGGTCGGGGGGCGTTCCGGTCCGTCCTTCACGCCCTACCGAGGTCACAAGTCGCCCCCCGCGAGCGGCTCTCCAGCACGGCCATGGCCCCAGAAGCACAAGGACTTAATGCAGAACCCAGCGGCTTGGAGCAGAAAAGTGAACGGACTATGCGTTGATCAAGCCCATCAAGTCTGCCGGAGGGGAAAGGGTGTTGCCCCATTCGCCCTCTCCTCTCTGGAAAGAAAGATGGCGGCCACATGGGAGCCTTGTGGACAGCAGGTATGAGCCGGGAGTGTGGGGGCGACTAAAACCTCATGGGAAGGGGGGCGTTTCGCTCCGCCCTTCACGCCCTACCGAGGCCACCAGTTGCCCCCCACGAGCGGCTCTCCAGCACGGCCACGACTCCAGAACACAGAAACCAATTTCTTAACTATCTGACTTTCAGTAGAAATACTTCCAGGGTCAATAGGTAAAATAGCAGAAATCCAAAACCAACATTTAATTCTTGAACCCAGCTGTAGAAAGCAAATCACTTCACAATGCTTTTTCAGCATGTCTGATTTGGGGGGGGGGGTAAACTCTAAATAATAGTGGTGAATCTTTTATTGAAACAATCTAATCAAAGCGGATAGAGTGTTAACTAGAATTCATCTGCCTCACAGGGACGGGGAGGGGTGGGGGGTGGGGTTTTATTGGGGTTCTTCATGGGAAAAAATAAGTATTGGTAAAGGGAAATGTGTTTGATATTTGCATGACTGAGACATAAACCTGAAAGCTTTGTAACCTTTCCCACAGTGATTCAATAAATAAATAAAAAAAAAAAATAGAAAAAAAAAAAAAAAAAGAAGAGAGATAGAGCAGCTAGGGTCGCTCTCTCAGACCAGAGGCTGCTGCTGCTGCTGCTGCTGCTGCTGCTGCTGCTGCTGCTGCTGCTGAATTCACTAGAGTCGCCAGCAGAGATGTACCTGTATGAGCTATAAGATAAAGTGCTATGGGGCTGGAGAGATAGTTTAGGAGTTAAAGCTCTTGCCTCACAAACAGGCAACTCCGATTTAATCCCTGACACCCAATGGTTCCCTGTGTATCACCAGAGCAAACTCAAAGCACAATGCCAAGACTTTGTGAACCTCAAGCCCCCAAATTTTAAAATAAAAATTAAAAACTGTAACAATGAGGACATCTGGAGGTACATCTACTAATCTTACACATAGTTCACAAGAACTCTAAGTCAAATCCACTGTCACAAGATTACAGACTATCTTTCAAACTTGCTAAATTCCAGATGCCTGGGGTGGTATTGTGCTTTTGAGAACATATTTTTTTTTTAATCACAAAAGAAGTGACCTTGAATTGCTTCCTCAAGAACTCAAACATGTTATGTAAACCCACAAATCAAATATAATAAATCATAATCTTACTTGTATTTCACAGAAAAATATTCATTCATCTTTGACATCCGTGCTTTCTTTATCTGCTGTCTTGTTTCAGGATTAAAGTCAGCCACCTGTGGTCCAGGATTTTGAAATGCCAGACATCTTAACTGCCGCTCGATTTGTTGCTATGAAACAAATAAAACGTATTCATAGTAAAAATAAGATTTTTCTTTTAAGTTATACTGCATCAAAAAAATTTTCTATCACTTTTACCTTCATGACAAGAAAACATAGATGTTTTACCCAGGGAAATAGTTCAATCTGATTAAGTTTCAAAGATAATTGAAATAAAAAAGTAGGCCTTATTTCTGAATTAAGAAATATATAATACGAAAAACAATCAGGTAGGATATATATCTGTATAAAGCTGTGAAAGGACAAAGACAAGGTAATATATAGTTGTTAGCTAAAGAAGCAGGTAAGGACACTGAGAGATAGCTTAGTGGGCTGAATCTAGGCTTTGTGTGCAGGAGGCTCAGAAATGATTCCAGATTCCCTAGACCACCACCAGGAGTGACCCTGGAGCACAGAGCTGGGAATAGTTCCCCAAAGCTGGGTGTGAGCCAAAATCAAAAATAAAAGCAAAGCCAGGTAAACTGTGATGTAGGTTCTCCAGTCCAAACACTTCCTTTCAGAGCAAAGGGTCACGTCTGAACTCAGGACCCTGATGTGTGAATCCCTCAGCTCTGAGGAATGAATATACCCAGGAGGGATTCACTCTCAGTGAATATCCGTAAAATGCCTTTCTTTCTAAAAGTTAGTGGAACATTTCCCAAAACTCTCTACTTGGAGGCATTTATAATTTGAAGTGATAGGGAATCCAATTGGGAAACCAAACAAAAAAGAGATCTCAGTGAACACTAAAACTTTTTTTGAGTGTGTAGCAAAAAGAAAAGTTTGGTGAGGTGAGGGCAGAAAAGTCTCCTTTAAAAAACTGTAGAGGGAAATAATCTGTGTGGCGCTCAACATGTGCAGAAGTCATAAAGGAAGCTCCGCTTCAACATTTAATGTATGTATTTTTGAAGATCTGATGTCACATCTAGCAGTGCTAAGGACAGTTTGGGGGAGAACTTGTAGAACCAAGGATTGAACCAAGGTCAGTCACAGGCAAGGCAAACGCCTCTCTAGCCCAGCATTCCATATTTTTATTACTAGAAAAAAATAAAAACAGACTTTCCAGATATAAAGAGAATCCAACAGGTGAACAAGGGGCCTATTGACTAAGAAATATTTTGTTTTTATTGTTGTTGTTGATGGTTTTCTCTGTAGGAGAGGAGAAAAAACTTTCATTGTAACCAATTAGTAACTTTCCTGTAGTTTGATTGGCTGACAAAAGGCAGGTTTTTCTGGGTTGGGAGATACAGTACAGATGTTACAAGTTTGCTTTGCCTGCAGCAGTCCTGCGCACCACCAGGTGTGGCTTCAACAATAACAACAATAATAATAAAGCAGTCAGAGCAACAGTTCATAGTACAGTGAATAGGGTGTTTGCCTTGCATATGTCCAACCTGGGTTCAATTCCAGGCATCCATATGCCTACGCCCACCCCAGGACCACCAGGAGTAATTCCTGAGCATAAAGCCAGGGGTAATCCCTGAGCATTGCCGGGTGTGGCCCAAAAACAAACAACAAAATTAAATCGGGTTTTTCTGCGGTTTTCTTCACTCCCTCAACCTCGACATGGAGAAGCACAGCTCCTTTCTGTGGGGTACAGACTTAGCATCTCATAAATGCCCAAGTTGACAACTCCCTAAATTTCATGGCATCAAAATATTCATATGCTGAGGTCTGGAACAATGATACAACAGGTAGGGCATTTTTCTTGCATGCAGTCAACCCAGGTTTGATCCTGGCACCCCCTTTAATCCCCTTAGTCCACCAGGAGTGATCCTAAGCACAGAGCCAGGAATAAACCCCAACCACCACCAGGTGTGTCCCCAAAACAACAAATAATCATATGCCATACCAACTGCTTTTGTCCAATTTGATAGCTTTTTTCAGGAGAACTTTGATCAGTTTGGTTCTCTTGAAGTGAATTGTGTTTTTCTGCTGGTTCACTCATTTTTTGATCCCTAGTGAAAAAAGAAAAGAAAAGTCAGACTATAATAACATCTATCTCCAGTGAAGCAAGCCTAGGCTCTCCTGCTTTCTCCCCACATCTCACCTGATTTCCAAGTAAAATTTCCTGAGGCTGGAGAGAGAGAGCTAAAGGGGCTTGGAGCACACACGCTCTGCATAAAGGAGGCCTGGGTTCAATGCCCGCAACACATGGCCCCTTGCACCTAACTCCTGTCCCTGGTTCACCAGACCCTTTCCTGCTACACTTCCCTTCCACATGAGATGAGTGCTCCATGAACTGATGTGTACACCATTTACAATAGGAAGGGGTGGACTGGGCCATACAGCAGTGTTCAGGGCTTACTTTTAGCTCTATGCTCAAGGATCACTCCTGGCAGTGTTCAGGGGGCTATATGGGATGCCAGGGATGTAACTGAGCCTGCCGTGTGCAAGGTTAAGTGCACTATCTGCTATACCATCTCTTCAGTCCCTAAACCTTTTACATCTCTTAGTATTGTAATCTGAGCTGGAGCCAATACCCTGGGACCGGGCTGCTTAGGGGGAACAGGAACTCTCCCCACTAAATACCTCCCCTGAGACATATGCAGGGTTCACTGCCCCAGTCACACTGTGAAAACCTGTGATCTATGATCAGAGATCTGCCCCCACCCCCACTGCTTCCAAAAGTCCAGATCCTGTCACTCACATTTTCTAACAAAAGTATAATACAAGCTACGCTTAGAAGTCATCGATGATCCACAAAACTTCACTGCTAAAGTGCCCATAATTTGGCCAGGGATATAGCTCAATGGACTGGAACATGTTCTTTACATGCAGTAACCCCAGATATAATCCCAGAACATGGTCCCAGCGGAACCCAGAGCATGGCTGGGTTAGCCCTCCCCCCACCCAAACAATTTTAATGAAATAATTCAAATGCTTGTAATCACCAGAAAGGACAGGTTGAAAGTAGGTAAAGGGGTATACCTGATAACCTCCAGTATCTGTACTGCAAACCATAAAGCCCAAAAGGAAAGAGAAAGAGAACGAGTGAGAGAAAGAGAGAGAGAGAGAGAGAGAGAGAGAGAGAATGCCCACCATAGAGGCAGAGTATGTAGGAGGACAGGAGTTGTGGGGAAGAAACTGGGAGGGAAACTGCCCACCACCACCTCCAATTTCCAAATAAGGTGAGCAAGGGACCTTGGTTTCTCTTTCCTAACATTACTGGCATTGGTTCTTTGTTCCCATTGTCTGTTACACAGAGTCCACCCAGAAGATGACGGGAGAAGAGGGAGGAGGAGGGAGAGGGAGAAGAGGAGAACTATTCCCCTTGACCACTATGGCTTCCATAAACTCAAGAAAGGCTTCTCCCCTGACTCTCCTGACCTCCCTTTTTTTTTCAGACATGTGTCACCTGAACCTCTTTTCCTGTCCCATAGAGAGGCAGATCTTCCCTAGAGCTCCTACCAGATTGACACACCAGGTCTTTTCTGGGATTAGAAGGCATCTCCTTGAAGTGCAATCAGTCAGAGAGATCAGCCCCTTTGCCAGTCTCCATGGGAGGGTTCAAACATACTTGCTAATTGGTGGGTGCCAATTAAGAATAAACAGGTGCTGAGAACAAACATTTGCAACCTCAGGAATCACTCCAGGCACCTACTCCACATCCCACTGATCAACTACCCCGCCTCCCGCTCCCGCCCCTGAGGTGTTCTGGGATTTTCCTCTCTTCTTGGATTTCAGCAAAGTTGAGCTGAAACTGAGTCCTGGCTTCCCCTTCAAGGCCTTCTCCATTTGTGTAACTGTATCCAGGGCCAGCCTTGCTTGGCTCCCCTCTCCCCAGAGGTCTCATTAGTTCAGCCAAACCCTTTCCTGGGGAATGCTTCCCAAATTGTCTGAAGATAAAAATTGCCTGGAGCAGTTTGGAAAATGATAGATTCACGGTCACATTCCAGGCCTACTGGAGTTACTAGTAGCTGCAGAGAACCTTGTGTGAACTGTATTGTGAATAAACCCTCCAGCTGGGAAAGTGGCTCAGGGCAGAGCATCTGCCTTCCACGAGGAGTTTAGGTTCAACCCCCACCTACCACCACAAACTAAACTCCCCAGATAAATGCCGGCTTTAGGCCCTTACAGGAAATGCCTGGATAGAACAAGCAGGCTGCATGCTCACCAGCTGTCTTGCCACAGTTCCTAAAACTTTTGCCACTGTTTCCTTCCCACTCCATCATCCAATCTTCCCCTCCCAATTTGAACATCACAAGCATGTTTAATATTCTTAAATCAGAAACTCTTTATTTCATGCCTGTTTAAGAGATACCCCAGAGACTCTTCTGAAAGGAAGATCCCATAGCCCTTGCCTCTCAGGAACAGTTTGTCATAAAGACTCCATCCTCCAGGTCTAAGCTCACACTCCTCCCAAACCCTGCCCCTAGCCTTGATTTGGGTGCTAACTCACCTCAGCATTCCCACTGACAAACCTCCCTTGTCTCACCAAGCTCTGTCCTGTCCCTCTGAAGCCAGGTCTGTCTACTGCAACAAGCAGTTCCTGATCACTCTACTGGGTAAGGAAAAGATGGCAGGGCTATGAACCCCCATTCCCCATCCCCTGCCCTTCAAAGAGACTTTAAACCCTCTAGCTTCTCCATATAACAACATTTTCTCCTCATGGGAACAGATAATCAAAAAATAATGATTTTTATTTTGCTTGCAAGAACATTTCCTGAAAGGAAATCTTATAAAACTGTGTTGGAAGAAGTGACTGTTTTATGCAAATCTTCTGCCACAGAAGCCTCTGTGTCAATTCTAGGTCAAAAGGTAAACTCCACAGACTTGTGGGAAGAGGGAAAACTCAGCCTTTGTATTCCAAATAAAGAGAAAAAAAACGGCAATGCATTTCACCAAGGACTGAAATCCTAATTACATGCCATTACCAGTCTGAAATAATTGTCCCATGAAAAGTAATAAAAAGGTTTAAAACTCATTTTCTCTGAGTGATAATCCTAAAACAGGGGTTCATTTTCTTTTGGCCTCACCCAGTTATTCCTGGCTTGGTACTCAGAGTCACTCCTGGCTGTGCTTGGGGGATTATATGTAATGTCCAGGATTGAACCACAGTCAACCAGGAGCAAGACAGCCATCTTGCCCAGAGCCCTGTCTCTCTGGCTCCCAAAGTAGGGATTCTTAGGCAGAGAATAGATGCAGAGATCCTTGAACACGAATGAGTAAAGAACAGTTATTTCCACTAATCTAAAACGGAAGATTCTGACATTTCCTTTTATTATAAAGCAATCCACAAACACATAGTGTTAAGAATAAGAAGTATCGATGACTTATGAAAGATTATGTAGATTGGCCAAAATGTTCAACCAAGGGTTGAAAAGGAGGAGCTTTGGGGACCTCATGGGAGAGATCACTGGTGATGGGTGTGATATTAGAATTATGTACACATGAAACCATCATTAACAGTATTATAAATCAATATACCAAAATCAATAAAAGTTTTAAAAATCATTCTTTGGAGCCAGAGAGAGAGCACTACAGAGAAGGTGCTTACCTTGAATGCAACTGAACCAGGTTTCATCCCCGGAAACCCTTGTGGTCCTGAGTCCCACAAGGAGTCTGGACTAAGCCCTGAATATACCAGGTATGGCCCCCCAAAAAAACAAACATCCCCCAAAAGTGTTACTTACATTCATTATTTCCTCCAAACAATGATGGTTGTTCTCAGGCTCCCTGTTAGTTATTATTTAGTACTTTACTCACAAACTGCTGGGGAGGTAGAGATATCTTTTAATGCCATGGGTCAAATACTGATTCTCATGCATGCAAAGTATGAGCTCTAACACAGAGTGACATCCCTCGCCTGTCACAAATTGTTTTTAATGTTATAATAAAGTGTATTTCAAATTGATTACTTTTGTCATCTTGCAAATTTTCCTTTTTTTTTTTTTTTTGCTTTTTGGGTCACACCCAGCAATGCTCAGGGGTTACTCCTTGCTCTGTACTCCGGAATTACTCTTGGCAGTGCTTGGGAGACCATATGACCTGGCACCTGAGTTGCGCAGGAGGAAGAGAGTGGCTTGGAACGCCTTCAAGAGCATTGAAGAAATAGCTAAGAGGATGAAGAACCTCCAGCTCCGGGCACATCTCTTCCATTCCACTGTTCTTCCTGCATGAACATATGCCTCAGGGCCCTACGCAAACAGGATGAGAACACTATTCGGGTCTCCCAAAGAGGAATCGAAAGAGCTATGCTTGGAGTGTCATGTTTCGCTCAAATGAGAGAAAGAATCCTGAGTTCCGACCTCCATCAATGATCAAGAATCAGGAACACTGTTCTGTTTGCCAAAGCATCAAAAATCAGATGGGCTGGACACATAATGAGATTTGGAGACGACCGCTGGACTAGAGCGATTACCGACTGGATTCCACAGGACATCAAAAGACCGCGTGGCTGCCCAGATGGTCAGACTTCTTCATCAAGACCCTGAACGATTGGTTTGGGCTCTTCATGTTCCTAGAACGAACAGACGCCATTGGGCTACACTAGCACTCGACAGGGACAAATGGAGACGTTACTGGCACCTGCTAGAGCAAATCGATGATTAAAGGGAAGTCAAGTGATCAAGTGTGATGGGATGCCAGGAATTGAACCTGGACCAGCCGCGTGCAAGGCAAACGCCCTACCCACTGTACTGTCATTCCAGCCCCATCTCGCAAATTATCTTTCATTTTTTTTTCCTTGCACATTTTTTTTTCACAAGGTTAAAAACCTCATTCTGAAACAGTTCCCACATGGGAGAAAAATAAAAAGACCAAGAACCATACACAAAGGCCAGAAGAAGTCACACCACCACCTCTAATGCCCAGGGCATGGAGACACAACAGCTTCTGTCCATGGAAACTGCTACCCTTTGTGTAGAGGGCAGGGTCTATAATAGGGTTAAGAAGGATAATACAGGGGTTAAGTCACTTCCCCTGCAGGCAGCAGGACCCAGTCTGATTCCCAGCA